CCAAAGGCCAACCCCAGAATTAAAGTTTGGTTCACCATCCAGTGAAGGCAGAGAGTCTGACATCTCCCAGCAGCATGAAGAAAAGGACAGTGCAACACAGTGCTTTATCATGGGAGAAAGCCTGAAAGGGTCAGACAAGCAGGATAGAGGTGGCCTGATGTTGAAAGGGGAAGTGATTTGCATAAACTCAGGAATTGAAGTAGAAACAGGCGAGCTAGATGAATCAGAAACATCCAAAATGGTTCTTCAGATGGAAGCTATTGAAATTAAAGTGACCCCTGTGGAGGTCCCAGAGCAGGCCCTTCCCAGTGCCGCAGAACTGGAGGACCAAGAAGCAAGGGCCCTCATGGCAGAAGAGCCGCCTCAAGACACAGGCCCTGTGGTGGGAGAACTGCCCCAAGACAAAAGCTCCGCAGCAGAAGATCTAACCCATGACAAAGGCCCCATGGTGCAAAAGCCATTCCAAGACAAAAGCCCAGTGGCCACAGAGCTGCCTCAAGACAAAGGCCCCCAGGCAGGGGAGCTGCCTGAAGACAAAAGCCCAACGGCAGGAGAGCCACCTCAAGACAAAAGTCCTGTGGCAGGAGAACTGCCTCACGACAAAGGGCCCCAGGAGGGAGAACCGCCTCAAGACAAAGGGCCCGTGTCAGGAGAACCACCTCAAGATAAAAGTCCCGTGGCGGGAGAACTGCCTCAAGACGAAGGGCCACTGGCGGGAGAGCTGCCTCAAGACGAAGGGCCATTGGCAGGAGAAGTGCCTCAAGACGAAGGGCCCGTGGCAGGAGAACCACCTCAAGACGAAGGGCCCGTGGCAGGAGAACCACCTCAAGACGAAGGGCCCGTGGCGGGAGAACCACCTCAAGACAAAGGGCCCGTGGTAGAAGAACCGCCTCAAGACAAAAGCCCCATGGTAGAGGAACCGCCTCAAGACAAAAGCCCCATGACAGGAGAACCGCCTCAAGACAAAAGCCCCATGGCAGGAGAACTGCCTCAAGACAAAAGCCCCATGGCAGGAGAACCGCCTCAAGGCAAAGGGCCTGTGGCAGAAGAACCACCTCAAGACGAAGGGCCTGTGGCGGGAGAACCGCCTCAAGACGAAGGGCCCATGGCGGGAGAACCACCTCAAGACGAAGGGCCCGTGGCAGGAGAACCACCTCAAGACGAAGGGCCCGTGGCGGGAGAACCACCTCAAGAC